AAAGCCAGAAAGAACAAACCGTATTTGCAAGGTCAGATACTTCCCATTGTTCCTAACCTCAACTGTGGTTTGGTTAGAAGGCAGACAGACCTTCTCCCTGTCTAGCTCTCATCACCAGAGGATAAATGTGAGGATGAACCTCTGCCAGTTTATAGATGGGTAGTGTATCTCATCCGATTGATACAGCATCCTTTCTACTCAAATGATATCCTGAACCACTAAACACATATCCACATGCACTGTCAGTTACATCTCCATGGTGCCACGGAAGTAGGGGAGATGTGCACAGAGGCAGGATTTGGATTTGTTTGTTTTTATGTTCCTGTGTGAGCATAAGGCATGCAGCAAGCTGTTCTCTGTGTGACCCATCACATGGAGCAGGAAGGAAAACACTGCCCTGGGTAGGCATCTGCAGTGCAGGTGCCCACACCTCAGCAAGTCACCCTATGTCCCCATTCTGTCCCAGGGAGAGCTAGTCAGTATAGCTGGAGTTTGAGATGTGGCACCTCCCACACCAAATAGGAACCTAGGTTCAGATAGACTTAATGAAATGTGTATGAGTTTCATTACATTGTGGCATGGACATTATGTAGAGACATAAAATTAAGTGCAAGTCCTACTTCACTTACAAACCTGTATTTGGGAATAGACTTACTTTCTGATAACTCTTAAAACAGTATTTTCTTTTCCGCTGACTTCACCTATTTCTCCTATTCTGATCTGATTATTTTGGGCCAAAACTGTTTCAAGAGTTGTAGCATTAGTTTTCAAATGAGATCTCTGGAGCCATGGTTGAGTAAAGCCCAGTACACAACTGTTCTCCATTTTGATCACCGACAATTTTTTTGCAGCAGTTGGTACCTGTTTCTGCAAGTCCTGGACACTCCTCATTCACAGTGGTGGCAAAATTGATATCCAACTGCTTCATCATCTTGTCTGCGGATGTGTGATACACTCCTGAAGGGCCAGTACACTTCATCCAGAAAGCCAGCAGCGACAGCTTTTTGTGGAACTCTGGAATTGCTGGAGGAGAAGAAAAAATGAACAATGAAACAAAGCCATGCTGGAAACATTGACTTCCAGAAGAGAGAAGAGGGTGGGAGTGGAGGAACTCTCACCCCAGCTCACTGATGGACAGCTACTGTTTGGTGGGTCATACTGTGCCATTATCTTTACAGAGCGTGATCAGGTGCTCACCCCAAGTTTGAAATGTGTCTCATCTTTTTCAGTACCATGAAATACTAGGGAAATATCAGAAATGGTCTGCACAAGAGTGGTTCCTGTTCTAGTGCTGTTCTGTGGCCTTGGGTAAGTCACTCAATTTTGCCTCAGTTTTCTGATAAATTGCTGCCAGAGTGCTCATGAGGGTAGCAACATGTCTGTCAAACTCTTCCAAGGTGCAACAAGAAGAAAAATAACTAAATAACTCTCCATAGAGATGACTGAAAATAAAATCGATAAAATATTTGAGGAGTTGTATTATGCCTCTGATAGTACAAGGCAGATCCTGCTTTTCCTTAGGAAAGAGAAGTGGAGGAAGAATTTGGCTTTTCAGAGGTGGCAGCACCCCACCCCACCACAGCAATGACCTCTGTCCATCTGCACATCACACAGGATGAGAAGTCCTTTCTCTTCTCACTTGCTTATTTCTGGATACCAGCACTGAGGACGGAACACGGCACTTGACCTGCTGTGGTGACTGCCACATCTGCTGGTAACCGTGAGTCAGCCCTTACTATGGTGGCATCTTCTGCAGTGACGGCAACCTCTGCATAGCAATTATTTCAGCAGGCACCCATGCCCCAACAAACCCTTTTCAGAAAGAAACCCACAGTTTGTTTTACCATCAGTAAGGGAGGTGATGTTTCCCAAGTTCTCAGTGCTGATCTCGGCGATGTGCTCCATCACGAGGATCTGCCTGGACAACTTATCCAGGAGGTCTCTTGTCACGAAGGGCGTTTTACTGGAGAACACAATTTGCTGGTGAAGACAAATAGGAAGAGAGGAAAAGGAGTCACTGAACTAAAAAAAAAAACTCAGAAGAAAACAAAAAAGTCCTAAACACCTGGCACCTGAAGAACTCCACTGGCAAATTCATTGCCTGAAACTATAGGATCTCCTTAACTTCAAATGTTTTTTTGTCTCTGGGATATTTTATGGTCCTGGTTGATATTCATTGTTGCTTTTATTGTTAACATATACATCCAGATCCAAGCACTTGAGTATCCAAGCATCCATTTGCATAAGTTATTTCTGATTTATACACTCTGCAAAGCTAAAGGAATCCATCAACATAAGCCTTAAAGCCAGAAAAGAATATTAGTCTGACTTTCACATAACACAGGCCATGGGCTTTCAGGATATACCTGGCTGGAGGCAGACCACAGGTCACTCTTTCTCAACTCTGTTTCAGCTCTGACCAGCTACCCAGGTGCCTTTATTAATCAGGTGCTTTCACCTTGCTAATACTCCCTGCTGCTGCTGTCTGCATTTTCTTCAGCAGTCCATGTAAATATTGTTCATATCAAATCTGCTCAGTGTATGGACATAGTTCAAGCTTGCCTCTTCCAATTGCATATTTACTGTGTACTCCTGTATTTAAGCCAAAAACACCTTCCCTTTTTCTCATACTTGTGAGTCAGCAGAGTGTCCAGCTCAGCACAAAGGGTACTGGAATCAGGATCACTCTGCACTGCTTCAGCGGGCTTTGGGGAAAATAGAGCTAATTATATCTAAGATGGAAAAGTCAAATAACTGTAAAGATGATGTTGCAATATGTTTTAATCTGTCAGGAAAACCCTGATGCCCTCTCTTGCTGGAGGTTTAAAATCACATTTCTGTGCTTGAGGTCTGAAAAAAAACCCTCTAAAATGTTGTGCTAGTTAGTTCTGAGCACGAACTGACAATTTTGATGTCCCAGGGGGGCGGTCATGTGCTGCCTTCACTGCATCTGTTGCAGACAATCTCTCTCCACCTCATATGCAGAAATTCATCTTTGCTCTTGAACGTCGCAATCTTGTCTGGGGCTCAGTTAAGCGGTGGGGCCACGGGCTTCTGTTCTGCCTCTGAAGACATGGGCTGCCTTAACTGGGGACTGCTCTCATTGAGGACCTCCCAGCGAAGCCAGGGGACAGCCAGAGGAGGGGCTGCCCTTGTCATCTGCTGTGCTGCCTGTCACTGCTGCTGGGGGCCATCTGCAAAGTGCTCCACGGTTTGCACATCAGGTCTGCTCTGAGACAGCCCAAGATGGACACAATAGAGGCTTTGGGGGCTTTGGGGATGAAGGGTGTCACCTCCCTACCCCAGCACAGCAGCTGTCCCAGCTCTGGACTCCTGCTGCCTGCCAGGAGCAGCACTGACCTTGCCAGCCTGCTCGTACCCCACGTTGCAAGCACACCAGTGCCTGCAGGGAAGATTTTAAAATATATGTCCCAAAAGAGCTGGACCTGATACCTGAATGAGGTGTGTGCAATACTGCAAGTGCTTAACTATGGTTACATCGAGGCTGTCGTTCCCCGTGGTCAGGGGCAGAGGGCTGCCGGCCACGCTGGTGCCCACACCTGTGTCCTCGGTGAGAGCTTCGCTCAGGTGGCCTCTGGCTTCTGGGTGCTCTGTCCTGTAGCTGAGGAGGGATGAGGGAGGTCAGTGCTGGGTTGACCACCACCACTGTGGCAGACACACACACACGCACACACACACACACACACACAGAGCTGCAAGCAGCCAGAATCCTGTGGATGAATACATCATATTACACCAGAGCAGTGCAGCCCTGGCTGGGCGTGCAGGACTGCAGGGCTGTACCCACCAAGGGGACAGGCCTCTGTCCCCTGATCAGATCAGTCTGTCTTGAGCGATGCCATGCCCTCATCAGCAGGCCTTTTTAACCCCCAGTTACTGTCACTTGGTGGTGACTGAGTTTTCTCCCATCTGTTGGTAAACCATCTCCCCAGTCACTCTGGATGAAGCACCATTACAAATTTGCACAATCCCAAGCACCCAGCTGATAAGAACAGCTCTGTGCTTTTGGTGTCCTCCTGCTGCCAAATTTAACGCAGAAGGAAAGGAAAACCACTGCTGGAGTAAGAGACATGATGTTTTCATACACTGTTTTAGGCACAATGTGTACAGCTTGCTTTGCCAATTGGTTCTGTAAGAGCGTAAAGCTAGTCTCACTGTGTTTTAAATCATTATTTCCAACATGGTCTTGTTGTACAAATGGGCCTCCCTGTGTTTAAATGAAAAGTCCAAGGTCAGTCCCCAGACTGCAAGTATATTTGGCTGCAAGTTCAGAAGTTTCAACACTTGCAATCTTTACACCGAGTCACGCGCTTACACAGCTAAAAATGGAAGTGGGAATCAACACTGTCCGGGGATGAGCCAAAGGGGAAAAAAAGAAATTTTAGCTTCTACTTTAGCTTAAAAGATTTTAGTTGACTTCTAAGTTAGCTTGTAACTAACTTAAAATTTTGCTGCTTGAGTTAAATTTATGCTGAAGTGCCTGGTTAAAGCCAGATTCTTAAATCAATGCAGACTGAACTGATCTCAGAGTGCCAATTCAGCAAGGAACACATTTTTCTGAGGTTTTTCTTCCCATCAAGTCTTATTCTGGAGAGAGGATATACAGTGAGAAGATGGGAACTGCAAGGTGGTTGCTTGTTTGTACTCAAAATTGTTTTAAACAGCCCATGATAAGAATAGCTCCTTGGTTGGCAAGCATGGGGTGTGAGGGAACCATGTTCTTTTCTTTTTTCCCAGCTCTAGTGCCACTTATGTGCCTGCTGGGCATCATGTCAGCTCTGAGGATGCAAATACGCTTTCAGGACCTAATGATTGAAACACAGCATCTTAAGGGCACACGACAATGGCAGACCACGGCACAAACACCACAACTTCTTTTTTTTTTTTCTTAGAAAGACCAAAAGTGATGAAAGAAGAGCAGGTAACACGCAGGGCCATGAACAGAGTACCAGTCATCACTCTTACATTCCAAAGGAAACCTACACCATGCTGCTTAAATCTGGCCCTGTGTTACTGTTACTGACAAGCTTAATCCACTGCAAAGACTCATTCGGCTAGAGAGAAAAGACAAAGGGAGGGGGGGAAAAACCACAGAGGAATTAGTAATTACATCCAAGGAAAGCCAGGTCCAAACCTATATCAAGGAAGAGGCTCTGCCAGTATTGATGTCAGCTTAATTTAATTTACCTTTCTTCTTTGGAGGACAGATTGTGTATATTTGAACAGGAAAAAAATGATCCTGGAAGCTAAGGATTTTGTATGCAGCAGCCATGGGGAACTCTCTGACCCTATAAACTCATCAAGGATTAGTCAATCTTCCTTGAATAATGTGTGCACCAGGATCCCATGTTAGCGACAAAGAGCTAGGGTATCAGTTTGGCGTAAGCACAGCTGGCAGTGACTACAAACTTACCTATTCTTCTCCATCTCTGTATCTGAAAATACCGAGTCTGCACCTCCTCCACCATTACAAACCTCCACACCACCACCATCCTCATCATCAAAGTCAGAGGTGTTCAGGAAATCAAAGCTTTCTAAAGCACTTTCAACTGTTAGACTTAAACTGGAGGACCTGCTTCGGCTTACTGCCGGCTTGCACTGCAAAGGCAGAATGAACCAATGAAAACCCCAGATATTAGCTACTACTGAAAGAAAAGAAAAAAAGGATAAAACTTAAAACTTTCAAAGTCTTCATTTTATTTTCAAAACTTCATTTTATTGGGTGTTTCATTTCAAACCTTCATATTCATAGCACATACAATGAAAACCTGAGAACTGGAAAAACCCTTCCCTTCCTCCTCCCCTCCCCATCCTATACCCTCTCTTCCCCAAAGGAAAACCCTCAAAGGCAAAATTCAATGCATTTTATAGAAACGAGAAGTACATCTTGAATCCAAGTGATGCAGCTTTTGGCGTTCTCCAAATGGAGAGACAGCAATTAATGCACTGGAAGTTGAAAGGGGATGGCAGGTTCTGTAATTGCTGTTCTAGACACAGAAGCCAACTTATACATATCCAATGGCACTATCGGATTTATTCCAGATGCAGCTCCAACACACCTCAGTTGGGAATTAATTTCTTCCCATATCTGCAGATTTATTCATGAGATGAGAGGACTTTTGTGGCCTTTGAAGCCACATGGCTTATCAAGGAAAAGCCAATCGGGCATCAGATTCCTAGGTGACAGAGAAAGGCAGTATTATAACTCAGAAATTAGCAGTGCTAGAGAGAGGGAAAGACATCCCGTCTCACTGCTGGGATGAAATGCGACTGAAGCCCCTGAAGCAAAGCTGTTGCTGTAGGAAGTATCAAAGGCCCTGGTCCCATGTGGTGATTCATCCAGACATGCCTACAATGTTGCTTCCAGGGTCATCTTGCAGGATCAGATATAACTTGAAGGATCACCTCTGTTGGTTTGTGCAATGACTTCAACACCTTTAGCTGTATGTCATTTGACCAGAAACAGTCAACATGTGCCGTTCCACAAGCCACATCTTCTAGTCCCAGGCAGAAGCCAAGACTTTGTCTCAGCTTGTAGAAAGAAATGCATTGGCCTCAGAGTTCAGACTCAGCACCTCTAGACCTGAGGAGGGTTGGAGTTTTGTTTCCAATTAATTTGCACACAATATTAATGCTATAATGGTCTTACATTAGCATTTATGATGCTTGACACCTTAAATTGATCATATAGTCATGAGCTGTTCAAACACACTTCCCAACACCTCTCTGACACAGGTGAGTGCCGTATCTCGCTTCCTCTGCAGCAACAATGGCTTTAGGTACCATTTCTTTCAGTGCAGCTTCTCCAGGCAAAAGCAATCAGCAACACATGGGCTTCTCCTTTTCTCTGCCCCTCTGATATTGCCAAGAGAGGTTTCTTCAGGCACAGCTGGATTCCAGCTTGACATTTTTTCACAGGGAGCCCAGCGCGGCTGCTGGAGATGCTGAGTGTTGGTCTGCAAGCTGGTCAACAGGCGGCACACAGACATAAAGCAGATTTGGAATACGTATCCTTCTCACATGTGCAGGAATCCTGTCTGCACACGTCCATCCCCTCTTTTCCTCCCATCACATGTCTGTCCCTTTGTAACTTCTGATAAAAGGAGCGTAAATAATCAGTCCCGGTTGTCCCTCTGCTGTTTGGATAGTTGACCTCTGCACAAGCTGCAGAGCAGCCATGAAGTTAAGAAATAATAGTAATGGTAGCTTTGCCTGCTTGAACCTCCTTGGAAAATAGTGGAAGCAAAAGGGACTGCAGGCTGTCACAAAAGCACTTAATTTGGGAAAGTACTATGCATCTGCAAACACCAATGGAAACAAAGATGTTAACAAAGTTTCTTTGCAAAAAGATAGTGCTGAAGGATGAATGCTTCCCTCCTTCCTCCTCAGCTGTGTGTTCAAATGATGAGGCTTAAATGACTAGCGGACCAACTTGCATATGAATATGAAGCATTTGAAATGATTATTTCCCACATAATACTTTTTCCACACTAATGCATCATGAGTTCATGGGTAGATACAAGTCACAGTGATTGGCAGTAAACATATTAACAACATACATGCAAAACCCTTTGCTTCTTTCTAATTTTCAACATGTTCTGTGCATCCTGGCGTAACGCGACAGGATGCCTCTCCTTTTAAAAATGGATGGGGGAAAAAGGAAAAGGCTTGGGAAAAGGCCTAGATGATGTGGAAATGGCAACAGTCAGTGAGACTTGTGCTTCTAAATCCCTTTGGCAGTTTAGAAAATTCAGCTTCAACGGCTGTGAGACCTGACTTTCAGCTGGTGCAGTTTTGCACAGTTTTGCAGAGTTGAGGGGCAGTATGCTAAAGTACACCCAAGGAGGATTTGACCCATAGATTTTAAAGGCAGAAGGCTGACTATAATCTGATGTCCAGCATGGCACAAGCAATGGGTTCACAAGTAGTTTCTTCAGAGAGGGGTTTAATTTAATTAATGCCCTTGCACCTTTTTCTCTTTCCCCCAGGTTTTGAGTAGATTAAAAGATCCATTCCCTGAGGATACAAGGCTATGGTAAGCACATGGCAGACAAGTTTAAAAATTCAACACTGTGAAAGGATGCTCCAAACAGGAGCAAATCTACTGCTACCGAGGAATTTTACTGATCTCCAAAAACTCTACTTCGCTGTTTGTGAGGAAAGGGAGGAGATTCTACCCGCTCAGGTTTTCTTTAGGGTAGTATTTTCTGAAATAGTACTCACTTTTAGGATGTCATCCAGATGCATCACTTCTTGGTCCAGGTCCTGAAACTCTTTATACTGCTCTTTATGTGGCTCAAGAGCTAAGAGAAGCCCCTGCAAGGCTTCTTCAATGCTTCCATCGAGATAAGACTTATATCCTTCTGATTCCCCACTAATGGATCCCTCACAGGGCAGCCTCTCTGGGGTCAGGGGTGCCTCTGCTGACGTAAGCCTTTTTACCAGCTGCTTCGTGACGTTGCCCTCATAGGTGTCCAGCTCCACAGGCTTGAGCTCTGAACCTTCATCGGTGTCCTGCAGGAGAGACACTGGGACACTTGCTTCTATAAAGACAGGATCACTCCCAGCATCAGAAGGTTTTTGGCAAACTTGAGGAGCTGCCCTTGGGGTGGCCTTCTTCTCAACCACTGCTCCCTCTCCCTGGGGCGGCAGGTCCTTCGGCTCGGCAACAGAGTCCCTACGGGAGTCACTGCTGCTGCCATCCAGGCTGGAGCTCTTGGAGGACTCGAGAGCTCGGTGCTGGGTGGGGGTCACAGTGATGTCAGGGCTGGAGCTGACATGAGCAGAAGAGGACTCTGCTGCGTTGGCAGGGGGCACGTGGTCTTCGTAAGGCAGGTCGCCGAAAGTGAATGAAAGAGGCCGCTTCTCAGTGGTTGCTGTTCCGTTTTCAAAGACGTCATCTGTCAAATTTGTCTGAAAAGGTGATAGAGAAAGAGAGAAAATGTTTTTCAGGTAGCACAAGAAAAAACCTCTGTTTCTGGGAAAGAAAAATGCAAGGAAGAAGATTAAAGGAGCATTCAAGATTTGAGAGATGGAAAAAATATTACAAATCCAACTTCTGCTTTCATCTGGCATGGCTCCTGATTTTGCAAGGAAAACTGCTGGAAAACTTGGGCTCAGCATCTCTCTGGTAAGCAGAGAGCTCCAGCATGTGAGTCCCAGAACAGAGACCCAAATTCTGCTCATCCTACCAGACTTCCTCAGACAGCATTTCCAGTGCACTGCTCTTGTTCCTGCGGCATGTCTCTTTTTAAAAGGGTTGTACTTAAGCCACCCTGTCTGCATTTTCCTACCCGTTACAGATTTCTGTTGTATTTCTTTTCTGACTTCTGAAGTAGCAATCCCTAAAATTTAATAAAGTTTGCTCCAAAATCTTCTCTAGTGTCATGGCATTTTAATGGTGATATCACCGTGCTATTCCTTTTCTGTTGAAAGTATGTTCTGCATGGGGCATGGATATCTCTAATAATTGTGGAACAGCAGTTACATAGGAGTCCTGTTCAGTGTGAGTTTCTGCTGAAACAAAATAGAAGAATTTGTGTGGTGGTGTATTGACCAGGACATTGATCATTTAGGAAGCAAAACCAGCATATACAGACCCAAAAATGACCACGGCATGCACATATATTCATCTCTCTGACTAATCTATGGGGAAAAATCACTCTAGGAGTCACAAGCTGCCTATTTAACCTACAAACCTTGCTTTGTTACATGGCCAACTCACAGAAATGCACAGCACAGATGAAAGGCAACTACTATTTTGCTGACAATTTACTGGAAAGAACTGTAGGCATTCACATGTTGGTAAGATGCACAAGGTTAAAACCTGCATCTTTTTTCCCAGCACTATTAGCAGTTTTTTTTTCCCTAAGCATAATTATACTCAAAGGTTAATTTCTTCTTTCCCTTGACATGGGTATGCTTTTAGCATCTGAAAGTCATGTTACTAGGCAAATGTATAACATCAACCACTGTAGCAGGTATTTTAAGAATACCATATTGGCTTGTATTCCTGCCCTGCTCTCCGCCCACAGATGGTTGGCTTCTGATCATTATCCCTGAAGAAACTAAGAGGGATTTTGATTTAAGGCAACCAGCATGGGCTCACAGTCATGTTCTCCCCTCTAATCAGTCAGCAAAATGAGTGAGTTGCAACAGAGAGCAACACGTGAAGCATGCGTGCAAATGCAGATGCCACACGGAGACCAAATAAACTCCTTCACCAAACAAAAACCAGGACTCACATATAGCTCTAGCCCTGCTTTTGGGCTTAGCCTGAGCGATGGCAGGTCACTAAAAGAGCGACTGCGACGAAGCTTGTCAAAGAAAGTGTCTTGCAGAGCATCTAAGATTGTCAACTTTGGCCTGTCTTGCAGGGGATGCAGCCATTTCTTCAACAGTTAAAGCGGAGAGGGTGTGAGGAAGGGCAAGTTAAAGGAATGCTTTATAGCAGGGTACTAAATTACAGGCATGGGATACAGCATTTGTAAAATTTATATCTGTACAGATGTCTTATTCAGCTTAATACACACAGTCCTGATTAAGCATTCAGAATTTGATTCATGCAAAATGTAGGAGCACCCTGTGAATATCTTCTGTACAAGGGCAGATTTGACCATGATATGCATTAAAAATACGAGTGTTATAATTGTTGTTGTTGTTACAAAATGAACACATATTTCATAAAAATTATTCAAGTATCATAGCAGTCAGGCTAGAAGAATAGGTATGCAATAATTGGCCACATAGTTTCAAAGATGCCAGGATCACAGTCACCTTCTTCCAGGATTAGCAGCTAGGAATGCACTTGCTTTATAAGTATTTGTAAGGGTAACCTGCTGGAACCAGGGAAAAAAAGCTTAGACGTGTAAAGCAATGAAGCATTTGCAGTGTTTGAACTGCTCTAGGGCTTCTCATTACATAAACATGAAGCCAAACAGAGCTTACAAAGAACGAGTGGTCCTTGAAGGTTGGCGTTTCTGGAGTGCCTTGGCTGTACATGGACATTCTCCTCTGGAGAGCAGATGCCTTGCTCAAATTTCCTGTGGATGGAGTCAAGTCTTCAACATCAAAGGGGCTATGGACACACAAGCAGAAAAGAAAAAGGTTGTTAGGCTGAGCAACAAGGAATTTCAGATCCATGGAAAGGATTTCTGAAAAGTTGGTTTATTAGCACATCAAAACCTAGAGGTAGCAAGTTTTTTAACAGAATTGTTTAAAAGGAAATGTTGTTAATTAGACATCAGACTCACAAGTGTGTTTTTTTGGTTCTGATAAAAGAATTCTACTCTCACAAATAATTTATGTAGCGTAGTCTGATGTTATTCTTCTCACATGAAAAGTATTCTTGAATTTGAGCTGACAAGTGTCACACATACTAATGAGAAAGGTGGTCTACTATTATTAGAGCTGTTGCATTATAAAGGAAACTCGTAGCTGTTATTGCTGGCTTCATGTTTATTGCATTACAAAAAAAGAGTGTACATGACTGTAAAAGCTAAGAGCGTCAATGCTTCTTCAGAAATGACAGCTACCAATTTTATTAAAGTGCCGTAAGAATTGGGTTTGAATCAGCTAACCTATACTGACTAGTGCAGATAGAATCATAGAATCATTTAGGTTGGAAAAGACACTTAAGACCATTGAGTCCAAACATAAACCTAATACAGCCAAGTGCACTACTAAACCATGTCCCTAAATACCACATCTACACTGGACAATGCTAGATTTCCTACCACCCTCATGGTGTGGGAAGTCCTTAAAAGCCAGCTTTTAAAGACAGGTCAACTTCTTGCCCCTTTCTTGAGCTCAGGGAAGAAGTATCCACTTCACATGCCTCGTAATGTCAGTACTCACCACATCTACGGTAACAGCTGAAAATTGGCACAACTCAGAACCTAGACACAAACCCATTTCCCACAAATAACACAGGGAACCTGTGGCTGACCATGAACTATTTCTCATCTCCCAAACTTGGGCCACAATTCCTTCCCCATCTGCCTCAGCAAGCAGTGAAAAGGAGAGAAGAGACCACACAGACATTTTCTCTTTGGATGAATTTTTACAACTGCTTGACACAGTGACCAACCAGCCAGCTCTACTTACTACCAGGTGATTTCAAGGTTCAGCTTTATTGTGCCAAGGTCGTTAATGTCTACTGCAACCACCTGAGGCCGAGCTGCAAAGAGGTCTTTTGTTTCACAGGTAACACTTCCCACAAGGATATGCGTAGCAAGTCCTTTAACTTCCGTGACCTGTAAGAGACAAGAACAAGATGTCTAAGACCATGCAAGGCATTGCAATCCTTAATTACAATGCAACGGGTTTGATTGTCTGATCTGGACCCCTTGCTAAAAAGCTTCCAAAATACAACTGTGTTTGTTGCATCTTCATTACTTAGGTCAAAAATCAGATTTATTTTTGTAATAACTGTGTAATTGCATATAAGTATGCTTCTGTGTTGTCTTTATGTTGTTATGGGTGTCAGAAGAGGACAACCATACTTGCTCAGACCAAGGGACTATCCACCCTTGGTACCTGGTCTTTTGCAGTGACCATAAGCAGAGCCCAAGGGAAAAGTAAGAACAGGGAGAGCGTATTGGATGTTTTCCTGTTTAATACTCTCTCAGCAACTAACAATTTTCACGACAGGCAATCTCCTGATGTAGCTGGCCTACTTACAATTCCTGAGGGAGCTCTCTTCTACATATTCAGCTCCTGTAACTCTGAAGCCGTGTAATTGTTTGCAACTATGACAGCCTTTGGTGAGGACTTCCACAGATCTGTTGGTGAGGAACCACCTCCAAAACTGTGTTGTTAGATTGGGGAGAATGACTCACCTTGTGTCACAACTTGACTGTCTATGGAAACCTACTGTCTCACACATTTGGGATTATTTTGTCAGTGGTTTTGTAATTGCTTGCATTTTTTTTTTCCATGAAGACTTTGCACTAAGTGGGACATTTCCCATGAGACTTTCAAGATACTCCCCTGCTTAAGCTGCCTAAGATGGGACACCTGGCATAATTATTAGCAGCAATTTCTAGACAGGGGTCAGGGAATGGGTATCTCTGGGTTGGAGTTTTGTTGGAAGGAAAGCACATGAGCATGTGGACCTTCAGCCAGCACAAAACTGTGTGGGGAGGCTTGGGGCAATGAGAGGGTGAAGCAGTGGTAAAAAGACTCTGGTTTGGGAGGAAAAAATCACTGCTGACTGCTAGGGGTTTGCAAAAGTTGCT